CGCGAGCGAGAAAGACGAGATCAGACTGAAAGCTGCGCAAGCGCTGGTGTCGCAATTTACGCCCGACAAGGATGCCACAGATGAACAGATCAAAAAGACTCTGCTGAGACTCTTCCGCGGCCTCTGCAGTAGCAGAAAAGCTGCGCGCATTGGTTTTTCTATCGCCTTGACTGAAATTCTGTCTCAAGTTCTATCCAGCCCCAGAGAGTCTTCGGAAATCGATATCTCGAAGGTCGTAGGGTTCTGGGAGTCACAGTCTAGCGCTTCCGGAAGCGAGTCGGGCCAGGTATGTTTAAAGATTTCTCTATCTGTGTCCCGTTGCTAATGGAAATATAAAGGAACAAAGAGATCATCACTTTGGGCGCCTATTTGGTGCAGAGGCTATTATCAAGTCTGGCATTCTTTTCAAGCCCAAGGCGCCTTTCTCCGAGTGGACCAAACTCTTGGATCTGGTCTTTGAGCTGGCCAAGAAGAAGCCATGGATCAGGGAAGAATGTGGCTGGATCGTGTACCGCTGTGTGTATGAATTGTCTGCCCAGAAGGCCGACGTGAAGTTCGTGGAATCCGCTCTTGAACGTCTTTGCACAAATGAGCTGGCACGGACGCCAGAGGGAGTTTCCATTTGGCTAGCAGCCAAGGACTTATTCCCCAAGGTGCAACTTCCTAGCAAAGTATGGAAACATGACGACCCATTGGACGCCAAGGAGAGGAATCAGCTGGCAAAGGTCATGAAGGAATCCTCAGTGTCTGAGGCCGAAGGTGAAAATAAGGGTAGCAACCCCAAGCCATCGGGTGTGTGGAATTCAAAGCTTCACTTTGCTTGGGATGCTGTCTTGTCCAGGCTTAGCGAAGCATCAGCAAAGGAGAGCAAGTCAAAGACCTCTCGGCTTAGCTTCATTGATTTCTGGACGGAGGTTGTCGACAGTACGTCTTCCTGTTTGTCCCAAAAAAGGTATTGGTTCTGACTAAGTCTTAAATAGATGGTCTCTTTGCCGCTTCCTCATCGGACGAGCGCAAATACTGGGGATTCCTCCTCTTCGTCAAGGTGTTGAATGAGAGCCCCTTGCCATTGGCTTCCCTTGTGTTCACAAAGAACCTTGTGAGGTGCCTTACGAATCAGCTCGCCGTTGAGGACCGATATCTTCACCGTATGGCTACTAAGGCTGCTAAGTCCATCCAGACCCGCGTGTCAAAGGAGCCCGAATTTGCCGCAGCTTCGATAAGTGGTTTGATGGGTTCAGCGGGCTCAGTGAACTTTGACCATGTCACTAAGACCAAGACGGTGGAGAAGATCGTGGTCGAGGCCAATCTAGATGCACTCAAGCAGATCGTGCCCCTCTTCGAAAAGCTCATCGCATCTCCAGGTACAAGTGACAGTAAGGCTGCTGCCTCAAGCCGTCAGTTCCTTGCTGGCTTGCTTCTGTCCATTGTTAAGTCTCGGGCTTCCACCAGTGATGAATCGGAAGAGAGCTCTAAGGAGGTGCTCGAACACATTCTGTTCACTTTCGTGCGATTTGCCTACTTTGTGGAGAAGGACGGTGAAGGCCGTGGTCAGACCGCTGCTGAGCCAGCCCTCACTCAGCAGACTCAGGAGCTCTTCCGGAGCAGGATCAACTCCTGCCTGAACAGTCTGATCGCCAATCAGAAGCACGCAACTGATCTTCCTTATGCGGTTGTCCGCAAGATTCGGGATGCAGCCAAGTCGGAGGAGTATGGCAAGTTTATCATCGCTATGGATGATACCCTGCAAGACTCTGTGAAGGGCGCATTCAAATCGCTGAAGAAATTGTCAAGCACGGTTCGTCAACCCGAAATATGCTTACTGCCCCAATTGAATACTTATTCTAACGATATGCAGGAAAAGAAGGGCGATACCGCTGGCGTTGATGCGTTCAAGCTTCTTTACTCTATGACCATTCTTCAAGTGTACAACGGCGATGCTGATGCTGTTTCCATGCTGGACGAACTTGACTTCTGCTTCTCCAAGATCTTCGGAGACAAGAAGTCCAAGAAGGAAGAGACAGCAGATGCTCCTGATGCGCTGGTGGAGATTCTTTTGAGTTTCGCTTCGAAGCCTTCGCAGCTCTTCCGCCGTATGAGTGAACAAGTCTTCGGTGCTTTCGCCGATAAGATTTCTGAGAATGGATTGGATTCTCTGGTCTCCGTATGTGCTTTGCTCCTCTTCCTCCTGACATTCATTGAAACTAACAACATACGTCTAGATCTTGGAAGCGAAGGAGAGTCTTGCAGGTCAGCAAGAGATGTTCGAACAGGATGACGAAGGAGAAGAAGATGAGGAAATGATGGATGTTGATGAAGATGACAGTGATGTCGAAGTTGTCGATGTAGAGGGCTCAAATGATGACGAAGACGAAGACGAGGAGGAGGAAGGATCCGAAGAGGAAGACGATGGAAACGAGGACGAGGAGGCTATCTTCGAGGCCAAGCTTGCCGAAGCACTTGGACCGCACCGTGCAAACCAAGACCTAAACGAAGAAGACTCAGACGCCGACATGAACGACGATGAGATGGAACAGGTAGACCAGCAGCTCGCTAAGGTGTTCCAGGCACGCCGGGATGCCCTGAGCAAAAACAAAGACAAGAAAGACGCCAAGGGGAACATGATTAACTTCAAGAACCGTGTTCTTGACCTTCTTGAAATCTACGTCAAGAAATGCCACTCGAAACTCTTGGCTCTCGATCTCCTTCTCCCACTTCTGCGTCTTACTCGCAAGTCTACCGTCAAACAGATTTCGAACAAGGCCAACTCCGTGCTGCGCGATTACACGAGACTGTGCAAGGGCTCTGCTTTGCCCAACTTAGAATCCGTCGAGCCTGCCTGGGAGCTCCTGAACTCGATCCACAAGGAAGCCAGCCACAGCGGCCCGCCCTCGCATGCTTCGGCTTGTAGCCAGGCAAGTCTTCTTCTGGTTAAGGTTCTCGTCGCACACGACAAGAACAACATTTCGGGCATTGTGGATGTCTACGCCGAGACCCGAAAGCAGCAGTTCCTTAGCAAGAAATGCCATGTCCCGCCTTCGTTCTTCAGCGAGTGGAACAACTGGTGTGTTTCCGCCAGCAAGCAGATGAAGAGCTGAGCGTTGCATCCTTGTCTCCCAGACTAGTACATAGATTTCTTTAATCAAAAGCGCACCTTTTATGATATTGTAACATATTCCAACAAACCCAGGACACAAAAACCAAAAGGTATCTCAAACATAGACATTGGCCACACACAAAACTAAGAGAACGAGCCATAGTTCGCTAGTAACGTCCAGACCACCACCAACCCATACATCCAACTAGTTACCTAAAACCCCTTAATATACCGATGCTCGCTCGTAACCTCAAGCACATCAAACCTCATCCCAACCTCCAAAGCCCCCTTCCCTCTGGGCGCACAAAGCATGCCAAAACAAGGCTTATACTTCATGCCCTCATCCACCCTCCGATAACTCATAAGCGTATCCCACGGCTGCGTCTTATGCTTCCCTGCCGTATCGGGGTCCACATTCGGTACCTGGCACCTGGCACACCTGGCCAGGACATCAAACTCCAGCACCTTCCCTGCGCCATCCGCAACCCTCACAACCTTCCACTCATCCTCCACCCAAGGCTCACCCCCCTTAACAATGATATTCGCCCGAAAGCGCTCCACACCAATCGGCTCCACGCCCTTCTCCACCAGCCGAGAGTTCAGCTCCGCCATCGACGCCTCCGAGGCAACCAGCACCGGATGCACATCGGGGAAATTCACACTTTGCGTCCTTCCCAGAAGCTTGGGGTCACCGTTCCCGCACATCACCCTCGGCGTCGGGCCCTTATAAACGAGACAGACGTCACGTTCCAGGAAATCAATAAACGGGCCATTGACCTCCGGCCCGTAGATGTAGGCGTCCGTGTCAATGTCCCAGATCCTGACCTGGCCCAGGGTCGTGTGGGCGTCCAGCCACGCAGTGTCTGGGCGGAGGGGCACGCGGACCTCCTTGTCAGCAACACCTGTGAACGTAACCACGAGGAACTGGTTGTCCGGGCTGAGCGCGGTGTTGATGAGCGTCATCTGCGGGATTTGGCGGATGGTCAGGAAGCCGTGTGTTTTGGCGTCGATGAGCATCCAGCGCCGGTCGAGGTCTAGGCCTTCCATGTGCAGCGTTGTCCTCTCTAGGCTGAGCCCGCGGCATGATTTGATGGGGTAGACTCTCAGAGACGTGATTTCACTGCTGGGGTGCTTCTTTTTCAGCGTGTTGGGGAGGAGCTTGCATGTGGTGGTTTTCAGCCAGGTTGGGATTTGCGGGTATAGCAGGGGGATGGTTAGGAGGGTTAGAGCCGTCACTATTGTGAGGGTTTTGGGGGTGTCTAGGTTTAGCATTTTTTCTTCTTCTTCTTCTTCTTCTTCTGCTTTTCTTTTTGGTTTGCTTTTGGGTTGTTCTCTATATGCGGCCTTTGGTTGCGTGCTGTAGATAGACTACGTTCACGGTCTTTTTATAGTGTTGGAAAAGTGACCGACCTATGGAGACGGATGAGTAAGCTTCGGATCCACCTTCCGGTGGATTTGGCTTAGGGCTGGTGGCTGTTGTCCTTTATACTGGATCCCTGTTCTATTTGGTTCGGGATGCTCTCGGTGTTTGTATCGGCTGATGGGCCTCGGGATTTGATGGATGTCGTCGGAAGCCGTTTGAAATCTTTCCCCGCGGAAAAATCTACACATATACGGATACGGTAGCACCCAATACCATGCTCGATAACTGTGTATATTCATGGATAATAGTCAGAGGGTAGATAGTGTATTCGAATCCTGATAAACGTGTATAACTCAACGTGAAAAGACCGGGAAAGTAGTCCCCTAAGAACAAATGATCACTCGATTTCTCGAGTGACTGCAACCAAAAGCGCATCTGGAATCCAGATAGTGCACCGCGCCATAGAAATGCAAGTATATATCTCGCCCAGTGCTCCTGTTCTTGCTTCGCAAAAAGATCCCAGCAACCTGGATGCCACTCTTATACCTGCCCGCTAACCCAGCTTGTTACAAGAGCTTTGATCAACCCAGCGGCAATATCTGTCCCTCTCTCAATGTCCTCGTCGGCGCAAGACCCAGGCACATGGAAGAACACGACGTTTCTGTTCTGGCCTTGTTGGAACGCCTGTGCCAGGCTTGTATAAAAGATGAACTCGCAGAGGTAGCGTCCGGCGTCCTCTGATATCCGAACGTCTGCTCCAGGAGATACAAACGACTTCCACGCGCTGAGGAAGTCGTCATTGGGCGGCTGGGGGTTGAGATTCTTCTGTACTATGTCTGTGGGATCCGTCGCAGGACCAGCCTGGAGCACTGGCGGGAGCTGGTGCTCCCTCCATACCTTCTCTCCATCCTCATACCCGATTCTACCTTTGATATCAGATAAATGGTAAGAATCTCGATGTGCTTTAGTCTCAATTGAGTAGTATGATCTTGTGGCCGCTATGCCCATATGGAGCACGATGTCTGGTCGTCGACCTCCATGGGACTCGGCGTAATCCTTTAGGATGGCTGGAATGGCTGTTCGCACTGTTGAGTAGGCGACGGGAATGGGAGATGGATGCACGTGAATTGAAATTCGACGAGAAGCAGGCCCGGATACAGACGGCTCCGCCGAAGGAAGCTCAAGCGACTGTGGTAGAGAGGAGGCAATCAAATACGAGGCATTGACGATGTTGGTTTTAAACGGCTAGTATGTTGTTAGCATGAGGGCCGAATCGGAAGCCAAGATGATCGAAGGACCACAAGTCAAGTATAAGACAGCTCAACTCACACCGAATCCTGTCACGAGTACCGAGACTTCATCTGGATCTGTCAATGACGACGGAGCAAGACTAGGTACCTCCGTCTCGGGTACCGCTACGGGCGGTCCAAAGTCTCCCATGGCTGATGGATAGATCAAAGAGAGCTAGGGGTCTGCGTGGAAACAACGTCTTTGTATACACGGTAACGATTCAAGCCACAATGAGGACAGAGATGAGGGATCAAAGATATATTGACGATTATCGAGGAGCTTCCCCCGCATTACAACCACCGCATGCGGGTCTTGGCATCACGCGATATCGATATCGATAAGGTGATAAGACACATGACCTCCCTTCCTCTTGACCGCCAACAAAAGCTTGAAGTATCAACATGCTCTTGACACCTGTGCAGTTGATCCTGTAGTACTTTCTTGGGATGATATGAGGTGCTCTTGCGTCGCATGCCTTCTGGCCGCCGCTGATTGTGTTCTTCGTTTCCGAGTCCTTGACCGATCATTCCCCCCTTGCTTCAGTCGGGTCTTGTTCATTGGGCAGCTCGGAAAGTTCAATAGTGAGAATGAGCCGAACTCGATAGTGGAGGATCACCGCTCGCTTAGCTAGTAGCACTGGTCTTCCACCGAATTACCTTGCAATCAGAAGTCAATGAAGCAGAGTTGGGCAGGGATCTATCCAAGCGAACAAATCAGGGAAATTCGGTATGTCATCTCAGAACTGCCGGATGACCCACCTCTTCCAGCCCGGGCATCTAAATTTTAGATACAACTACTCATGGTGGCTCCTCCCACCCAAGTACAACAATATGGGGCTAGTGTTGAAGATTAACGGGCATAAAATCATGTTGGGAACATCTGAAATCCTACGACTAATCCCCCGAGAAGTTTCCGTAGCCCATGTGGCGTAATATGGAAGACAACTTGAAGACAACGACATGCCTATTTAAGAAATTCAATTGCCTATCACGATTCTCCGCCTAGGGAGTCACCCCCATGAACCAAACAAACTAGTTAAATTCTTTGCGGGAGGGTCTGACAAAAGTGGTTGATCGACGGTCTCGACCCACCGCCAGGACCCTGCCGAGCCACTGTAGTTCATTGTTCAGTCTAGCCCAGGTTACCTCGTCGTATTCAACGTATCGAATATATCCCCACTTCGGATGTCATAGATTCCGTGCAAAGAGGGCCATAGAACCAGTCAATTGGAGGGCAGCTGTGCGCTTAGCGTGGGTATATAAGGCCACGGCAAAAGCTAGAGGGTAGGGGCACATTCTCTGATTGACTGGCACGGAAGGCTATTACAAGATGCCTGCACTTGCTGACTTTATTGAGAGCCATTACTTCTTCCAAGGCATTGCAATAGCGTTGACACTGATATTCGTGTCCAACTTTTACAGAGAACTCGCAGATGGCTTGCCATACCGTAAAATTCCTCTCGTGGGGAGAAGTAGATGGGAGATCTCGAACACCAAAGCCAAAAAGCTCTTTGTCACCTCTGCAAAGGATCTGATGGTGCAAGGATTTAGCCAGGTATGGGCCGAGTCTTGTCCTATCTTAGAACGTAGAAAGACAAGAGGAGATTTGGGACACTGACACTTGGCTTTAGGGTAGAACCGTCTTTCAGGCCATGTTTACTTCTGGTCCGACCATAGTTCTGCACCCTTGTTATGTGGATGAGTTGAAAAACCATCCGCATTTAAGCTTCAGGGGGGCGGTTAGAAAGGTAACCACTTATAGCGGTCGGCAAAAGACAAGTATTGACAATCTCAGGCCTTCTTTGGTGCAACCATACGGGGGTTTGAGCCCTTTGGCGACCAAACGAATCCAACAATTGGCATAGAAGTGATCAATAAGAAACTAACGCATGTGCTGGGTATGGGTTTGTTGCTCGCGAAGAAATTGCCCTTGTTTCTAATGACTTTATCTTTTCTGCAGGCGAGTTAACTGTTCCCTTGTCAAAGGAAACCGCTGCTGTGTTGACGGACAAACTACCTGGATCCAATGGTATGAAGCATGGCAGCAAAGTTTGGAAAGGCACTCACTGATGGTAATTGCTGCACGCTAGAATGGAAACCCTTCACTTTCGGACAGGAGGTCCCGCATATGGTAGCTCGGGTGTCGTCGCTGGTGTTTATGGGAGAGAAGATATGTCGGAATGAAGCATGGTTGAATGTATCAGTCAACTACACCATTGATGCGTTCAACGCGGCTCGTGAACTCAGGGACTGGCCAGCAGTTTCTCGGCCATTCATACACTGGTTTATGCCATCGATGCAAAAGCTTCGACACCACAAAAGGGTGGCAGCTGAGATTGTTCAACAAGAGATCATTAGGAGAGACATGATCCGAGAAGGTACACTTCCAGAGGAGAAACCCCGTGGAACGCATGCAGATGCCCTAGATTGGTTTCGGGAGGTTGCTGCAGGCCGTCCCTACGACGAAACAGTAACGCAGATCGCTCTTTCTGTGGCGGCAATTCACACGACGTCGAATATGCTTACGAATGTGATGTATGACTTGACGGCCCATCCGGAATATATCCAACCATTGAGAGATGAGATCAAGGCCATCGTGGAACAAGACGGCATCCTGAAAAAGCCCAGTCTCTCCAAAATGAAGTTGATGGACAGTGTCATGAAAGAGAGTCAACGCATGAATCCTGGATCTATCGGTAAGCGATTTTGGAGCCGTCTGCTCTGTTCAACCGCTCGTAGTACTAGCCTGCTGACACGCTACTTTGCGAAAAGCCTTCTTCAATCGCGTTTCAACGGAGGCATTCGTGCTCTCCGACGGAACTTCTATTCCCAAAGGTGCCAACGTAGTTATGTCAGCCCACGCTATGGAAGATGAGACGATCTATCCCAACGCCAAGGTGTACGACGGCTTTCGGTTTTACAACAAACGCCAGGAACCTGACAACGAGCATCGATATCAGTTCGTAACGACCAGTCCAGAACACCTTGGTTTCGGCCACGGCATGCATGCTTGCCCTGGCCGCTTCTTCGCCAATAACGAGATCAAAATTCTCCTTGTACACCTGCTGATGAAATATGACTGGAAGTTTGCCGACCACGTTGACCGGCCCAAGTCGATTCTGCATGGAACTGAAATTATATGCGACCCCACGGTGAAACTACTTTATAAGTCACGACAGCCAGAAATTGACTTGTCAGCGTTGGGAGAGGGAGCTGCTGACTAGTTATTGCCCCCTTTACTTTGGATGCCTTTTCCCGATGTGGTATGAAGATATTTTGTCTTTCCTTGATGTCTTTCTTTCCTCTCATTGACGGCCAAGTGTTGGGCTGCTGGACTCTACAGAGACGATGAAAATAGGATCTTGTTCACAGCGGAACGTAAGGAGTAATCGAGTTTTTCCCTCCATCTGCCAACTGTATGCATGTACTGGACGCCATAGGACAAGATCTCCAACAGTTGGGCAACAAAGCACGTAAGGAGGCTTAGCACCGAGCACGAGACCAGATATCGCAACGATCTCATATAACAGTGGAGTTCTTCGACCAACATTAGTGCCTACTATGATATCTTGCAGATGGGTATGTCTACATTGCGTGCACTATATACTGCTAAGTTGGGTTCGCGTACTCCGTATGCGATTCCAACATAGGCTAATCCATGATCCATGGGTAAATCACTGCAGCTGTGGCCATAGTTCTAACTGCAATCGTTTAAAACGTACCGGTGCATTTGCATGAGAAGTAAGGAGTATGCAGCATGTTGGGCTGGCCACGATTGGCGGCGAGAATCAAAAAAACAAAGCAACCCCGAAACGGGAAATAAACAGTACTTCTGCATTGTTTATATCGACGCGTCGTCCGAATTGATAACAAGTGTCATTGAACTATGGTAACATCCCGAGTGGGTTCGAGCTAAATGGAAGCTATCTTCTGCATATGGGTACACTATGGAGCCCTAGACCTTCATGTACTAAAATTAACACCCATTCCCGTCCCCCAAAACTTACACGAGGCCACTGAGTGCATTGGGGGCTGATATTCTTAGCATATTCCGGTGGACTTTTCACCTAGTTCCTGCATAGGATCTAAGCGATGGACGTATGGACTCCATCCCCAGCCTCCTGGATTTTGGAGGTTCTTTTTTTGGACATTGAAAGAGGAGAATGATTGTTTATATGGTCCATGCTTTTTTAGTCGATGGAGAAGTGGTTGATAGTGCCGATTTTGCTCAGGAACAGAAGCCTACTAAGGTTAGCCGCCTCAGGTAACCTCCCGCTAACGGTTTAAACTCCTTTGGGATGAGATTAGTTCATGTAACCCGTTGGTAAATTCCAGGGTACTAGTGGACCATGGGGAGACGATAAGTATATATGATTGGACAAAAGTCTAGAAGAATACAGTAACGTTACCTGTCGCGCGTAGTCCGCGCGAGAGACGCGTTGATACGCGACACCCCACTTTACCACGCGTTTGGAGCGGTGGGACTCGGAATCGATGGAAAAAAAAAAACTAACTTATCGGCAAATGTCAATGCTTTTCCGCCGTGTTCGTTAGGGACAACGGCAGTTACTGGTGCCATTGACCCCTTCTTTCAACCTCTGCGCTTCAGGACATGTCCCGCACCTTCTGGTGAACCTCGTGCTTCCGGGGGTAGATCCAAACGTCTCAATCCGGCGACGAGGCGGTTAGTCGCGTCTGTCCATCCTCCTAATGCCGGGTGTGGTAAGACTAATGCAAGCCCAGTCTCTGTTGGTTCGTCTGTGACGGTGGTGGAGTACGCTGCTGCATGAGACTGGAGTTCGAGATTTCCAAAACCACTTGGAATCTCTTATGACACTGGCACAAACCACTCAGCGTGACTCCGAAATTCCTGGCCCGAAAATTTCTCCCAGCCACCGACTTTGATCACACGGTTTCCTGGATTTGAGTTTTTTTTCTGTCTTATTTTATTTTTCATTTTCCCTGGTCTGCTCTTGGGAGAGAGCTCTTGTCGGAACTTCTCCCATGACTGGATGTCGATCAGTTGACGTTGTGTGAAATTTGGGAAGTGATGATCTGATAACCATACGCACACGTCGGTCACATCAATAGGGTTCCCTGACAGTGTGATTTTCCATGCATCCCCCCAATGGGAACGAGGTGTAATAAAACTACTAATAATTATTCCTAATCGGTGAACTGATTCGCCAGCAGTGGTTGTAGTGGACATCCCCCCAAATGTACCTACTAGTACACCCTTACAGTTGGGGGAAATACCACGCAACTGTAGACTCCGAGAGGAGGGAGAGACAGTGATAACAACAATAATAATATCAGGACAAAATTAAGAGCAGTGTAACCATCCTAGACATTCAAGTGGGCAAGGTATTTATTATGATCCAGTTCGTGCCGCATAACTTGAGGTCATAACTGAGTCCGGATGATTTGTTCGATGGAATGGTTGGGCAACGCGGTGAGGCGGTGGAATAAGACCACTAGTACTGATGCTTGCTTGTTCATTTGTGAGTGGAGGAGGCCCCCGTTTTTAGAAACTGGAGGAGATTCTTCTCTGCAGACTTCAAGTGGTAACTAGATTTTATTTTTATTTTATTTTATATTTTTATTTTTTTTTCTTGGGTCAATCTGCAATTTGCCATCGAGGGGAAAAAAGTAAAAATTTAAAAAAAAATAAAATAAAATAAAAAAAAGCAGTCGAGTCGGTTGGCGGACTTGAGCAGTAACAATTCTCCGCATTCCACAAAACCAAGGCATCATCCGTAATTTATTTGGAAATTTCCCCATTTCACGCATTGTGATTTGCTCGATGGCAAAGTTCTCCCTCTGCAGAGATTAAATAACCAGAAGGTCCCTAGTTGGAGGTATCTTGTTCACACTAATAACATACATCATTGGTATCTATGGCTGATACTGACTGGCACGTCACATCAATACTATACTTACTGTACTTCGACGTTTCCAAATAATTAATTAGCATCGACGCCAGCTAATTACCTCTGGAACTAAGGCTGTTAGTGCTTGACGTGGTTCCTTTTCCGATCCTGAGTCGGGCTCCGTTGAGTGGAGACCGTTGCAAAAGCAAAGCCAAAGAACACTCTTGCGCACCGCCAGATTCTGCGTGCTGTCCCGGCGCCTTAGGCTTTGGGGACCAACGGCCTTAGGCGTTCCCCCCTCTGCGTGATCCTCCCGTCCCGTCCTCGTTCCCTCTCCTGCCTCCCTTTCCTCTCCCGTTTTCTTCCTCGCTTCCTCGTGCACAACCATTTGTGCTTCTTCCTTTTTTATTTTTCCTTGATTTATTTTTTTTGGCCTACGAGCGCGTGGCTCGTACATTCCGCCCCTTTCAATTTCCTTGTCGTTTCTTTTGTGTTGGTCTGGCGTTTTGTGTCAATGACGGGTTTCCCTTCTCTATAGTCCCGGCTATCTTCAGGTACCAGATGGAGCGCGGAAGCCCCTAGATGTGATCACCAGTCAAGATTATATCGCATCGCGTCGACATTCACACAAATACGATCGCTTGCTATCCTTCCGACCACTCACACCTTGACGAGTTTGATTTCCTTGTTTGTTTTACGCATACTTGTTGTTACGATTAACGAACCGAATCCCCCCCCCTCCCGAAATTACGCGCCTGGTCAACCTCACCTCAAGTTTGACCAAAGAAGCTGCACCGTTGACGAAAACCAAGACATTTCTTTTTTCAAACACCCTCCTATTGACTCTTACGAACTACTAGTGGACTGCTAGGATAGGAATTTCGGGTGCGCATTCAATTGGGTTAAAGAGCGTGTGCGATATAGAATCCAAAGTCCGCACTTCCCTTAACGCCGAAGATTATACCACTCAGGCCGTGCGAAAGCTCTAAAAGAAGCGAAATGATATTGGCATAGGAATATTGGAACTGAGACAACCGAATCAGCCGACAACTTCGACCATCGCTACCCGGTTTGATTCTATACCGGTGAGAGATACGACGGGAATACCGCGCATCATGACTCACCGACGGCAAGGTCTTTCTCGCACCTTGCCGAAAGACTTCACTTTTCCTTCAATAGGGGAGCCCAGGACTCCGGAACGCAACTCAATCCAGCTGGACGTTCCGCCGCCGCCCCCGCGCCATTCCAGTTGTCGTTTGCGCAGGTCCCGTGTGCGCTCAGGGACAGATGTTTTTGCGCAGGCTGAATATGATCGCAAAATTTTCCACCCTAACCCATCAGACATTCCGCTACCATCCATTGAATTTTCTTCTTCGCATGATGCAACAGACATTCAGTCATGTCTATCCATACCCACAAGCAATGACCGCTTTTTGGCCCCTCCGCGGGATCGCGTAGCGTTAAAGACCCCACCTGCCCAGATCCGCGCAGCCCCAGTCGATCAGTCTACAGAAGATTGGTCAACGGATGATCCTCAGACTATAGGGGAGAGCATCGAACGCCCTGGCTCTGCCTGTTCTAATTCCTCAGTCTCGTCAATTGAAACATTTGCCTCTCGGCGCTCAATGGGTGGAAGCTGTACGAGCATGGAAAGCGATAGCTACGACCCATTTTTCCTTGAAATTCAACCAAAATACGTGGAATCAACTCCAGTGCCCAAGTTCCGGCGGAACAAACCCCCGACTCGCGAACGATGGACAAGAGATATGGACAATCACTTATGGAATACGTATCAGATTTACCTCCAGGATCCTACAATCACACCCTTCAAAATGACGCCGGGAAGCATTCCGCCATTGGGGGTCACTCACCGAGTAGCGCGAGAGGCAAAGAAAACATGGGAAAGAATGCGTTGCAGACTTACCAAACAGCTTCCTTCCACGTCGCAACAATGTGTGAGCGGCAACTCAACACCAACTCCAAAGACTGACACCCCAAAGAATATATGGCCCAAATCCGAGGCGTCGACCAGGAGGAGATTAAAATATTTGTGCAAGAGGAAATTCTGTATCGCGCCTCATTACCAAAGGCTGATGATGTCCCGAAGCCCGACACCTGCCTTGGACATGGTCTCTCACTCGTCCCGAGAATCGTCTCAAGCAGAGGCCTCCACAAGTAGCTCGGCAGTTTACGCCACGCGCGATCTAGGTATATCTCTTGTCTCAAGCTCAGTTCCTGGGCCCTTAACACAGTTGGCAATGGAGGAGCCACCGAATAGTAACAGTGGCGAATGGTTCAGCCAGCCCGTACCGTGTAACGCTCCTCATGGCGCGGTCGACCCATTCGCAAATAGACCGTTTAGCTTTGACGAACGGGAGATGGTACCCCGACTGGGATCCCCGTTTACCTATCATACGTGGGGTCCTAATAACTCGAGGAAACGAGTCCAACGTCATACACCTAGGGCTCGAAGAGAAACAATTCATGTTACAGGCTCTCGGTTGCGGTCCCCTCCCCGTATGGACTTATTCTCAAATGCGGATAACCCTAATATTGCTCAAGATTCAATGGCAACCCTGGAATCTCCGAGCGATGAAGAAACACGACAAAACTTAGAGGAGCTTTTCCGACAGGGAAAACTAAATGACATTGGCCAGCATCGCGTACGAATTCGAAACCGTGGAGCCACGATGAGTTCGGTTAATTCCGGAGGCCTTGACCAGCTCTTTTCCCCGCCATCGTCTTCATCTAGAAATGACGAGAGCTATCGCGAGGACAAGCCCGCTCCTCACCTGCGGAGCCTTAGTGGGGAGGCCATCAAACGACTTGGTTCACCTTTCAAGATTGACCCACCCAAACGAGCCGGCGACACGCCGGCCAGATTTATCAGGCATGCACCGTCCCGTTCGGAGCCATTTGCACGTGTACTTCTGCCTCAGGCAAGACAGACAGCTCCGGTTGGCGGGCAGGGAATGTCGAATACCCTGCCATACGATCCAACTGAACCTGGTCTATCGGATGCAGAGCGGATCCGGAGACAGATTCTGAATATGTCTTACTCACGACAATAAGCCAGGTGTTGCTTTGCCCGAGCGCAATTGGCTGTTCAAGAGTTTGTCTTGATGAATCTGTTTTGATTATCGTGTCCACTTGGAATTACTCCTTGACTAATGACCTGGACGATCTACAGCGACTTGGCTTTTGTAGCCCAAGCGAATAATGACAGCAATGGCATTAACGACTAATGATATTGAAAGACAAAAGCGAAACAAAAAAAAAGAACAACATTCTCCTGCTCTCACAATCTAAGACAAACAACGACACAAAATGATGAAAAAAAACCGAAAAGAAACAAAAACCATGACAATTTCGAAATTACCTTTAACATCTGGGCTATTCCACGGTGCAAGCCCTATGCCAATTTGATATCGGACTGCATGACAATTGCAGTGTGTTCAGAACAGCTTCGTTATGCTTCAAAGTTGAACACAAATGTGCGAGTCAACTTTGGCCGACTATCCAACCGAGTCGACAGAACTTCAGTTTTCCTTCCCGTTTCCCCTTATATGCGAACATTAAATACTCTCTTTTCTCTCTTTACTATCTCTCAGCAACATCGGATATCAAACGACCCAATGTACGGCCACCTTGGATAGCATGCATGCTCCATGCTGCATTGACAACATTCTCCGGTCTCTTTTCATTGGGGTTCCACCGAATATGCACTCATACACTCTCTGAATTTTCTTTTTTCCCCCAAACCGACCAATTCGCTCTCTTCAACATACCAGATACATCGACAGAATACAGACTATATCAACCGAAAATCAAAAAAGAAAACCAAAAAAATATCACCCACCCACGTCTATCTTTGAACCGTCTTCATCTTTCCCCATTTCCTCTATTCCCCATTGGAATTCCCTCCACCAACATTTGCAAAAAAAATCATCACGCCGTTAGTTTTGTCTTATGATGAGCAGTGTTGCATCTTTTCTCAGCATGCGTGATGATTGGAATGGAGAGACGCTGATATTGATTGAAACGACATAGACGAAACGACCATGATGCTGCTGAGTGACGAAAGCGTTTTTAACGGCCTTGTGCAGCGTTCAGTTCAGTCCCAGTCTGATTGAATTTTATTTTCTTCTTATATTCTCATTTTTCTTTTCATCATCTCATTGCATTCACAACTCAACCCGACCAACCTACTATACTTACTCTATCTATTCCGAGAAAATCCGAAATCAGTTTTAACCGAAGCCAATCTCTCGATTACTTACTTCTTCTCTCTCCCTCTCTGAAAGAACTCCATTACTTTACCTTTACATTTAGCCTTTCTTCTTTTCTTTTCTTTTCTTCAATTCCATTTCCATTTCCATTTTCATTTTGCTGTCGCTTTCATTCAAACTCTCTTGCATCTTGCATTCTTTAGATGAACTGAACCAAACCGAACCAGACGTTTTGATATGATGACATGAGGGATGAGCCGATGTCTTGAAGTAACTGAGCGTTTGATATTTGAAATGAGATCATTCTTTTACAGCCTTCTTTCTTTTGGGATTGTTGCTGTTGTGAAGTTATTGTAGTTTGGTAGATGGTTTGTAGTCTCTTGTATCTTGTATTGAAGACAAGTACGGGAGCCGGAGTGACGGAGTTAGGGTTTGGTAACATCATGAGATTTAGTCTTACTAGTTTTGTAAGGCAAGAGTTTACTCAAGTAATCCTTAAATACCGACTACGATTCATGTGTGTGCAAATCTGCAACTTAAATGCAATAACAAATATTAAAGAGGTTATGTAACCATGGCCAGAAAGAAGCTGAGTACAAGACGAGAAAAGAACATCGACCAAAACGCCAACGCTGGAGTGAAAACAAGGGGGGGTATAGAGAATCATGAAGCAATCGTCAGAAAAGTAGATACAAAGTGCGCGCGAGAGACAGGTAAAGTCAAGCTGAGGCAGATCAAGATCTTTCCAGCTTCTTCTTTCTCTCATTAAAGATAGCCTCGAGCTTTCGGAGCTGGAGACCCAGGCCTTTCTTTTCCGCGTTGGCCACTAGCCATGCTTCCATTTTCTCTCGGACGTATCTCATGGAGTTGACAACGGGGAGGATAGGCGACGTGGACGTGTTCTCATCGAACAGGGTTGCAGCGGGGTTGTTGTTTCCTTCTAGTTCCAGCTGAACCCATCGCTCTGCACTAGGGTTGAGAAGGAGATCAAAGACATCGTTCCAGATTTCCCGCTCCCAGTACCGTTTTAAGGATTCGCGGATTCGATACGTTCTAGGCCCGTTGGGAGATGCACCTTCGCTCTGACGGACAGGGGACGATTCGATGTACTTTCCGAAAAGCATAACGTGGACGGTGCCTGCAAGTCCATACAGATCAATTTGGTGAGTCCATGGTCGCATCTCCTGGATCTCGTTACACTCGTGCTTCTTGGCCTCCCAGTCGGCGACAAATTGAACGGACGGCTGGAAAGCTTGCATGTCTATGCCACGACCAAAGTCGATAAGAGAAAGACCTTTGTTGCACCAGCCGTAAGATCCCCGAGGGGAGTAATGCACTTCGCGTGGATCATAAGCGTTCTCATCGCCGAGGTCGATGAGGGACGGAGGTTCGGCCTTCTCCTCGAGTCTCACAAGGCAATTATCGGCTTTGATGTCGCCATGCAGTATACCACATGAGTGAAGTGCCTCTACAGTGCGGAATAACTCCACAGTAAAGAACATAGCAAGAATCTCATCTAAGCCTCCTTCGCCGTGGCTGCCACCTATGCCTTGCTCATTTCGGACAAGGTTGACAAGATCAAGCAAAGTGCCTTGACTGCGATAATCCTCCACAAGAATGCTTTCCTTTTTATACACATGCATCTCGTGTGCATCGATTATACTATCCACCGCGCGCGACAAATTGGGTTGTCGGTTCAGGCGGTCATGCGCAGTCCGAATCATGTAGAATTCCCATGGGTTTGGAGGACCGACTTCCATCTTGATAGCCTCAAAGCCATAGCGAGCCTTGCTCCGTGTTGATTTGTTACTGTTGGTCAGCTGTGATCCTCCACTGTTACTACCTTCAGATTCATCTTCAGAGTCGGCGGGCGAACTATCGATACTCTCCGCTAGGTAGACTGGGGCAAATGCACCGGCTCCAAGCTCTCGCCGGATGATATAGCTTCTCTCTGCACCGGGAAGCTCCAGGATGGGCAATTCAAACGACGCTTCGTCACCGCTTCGGGAACGCTTTGGCTGAGCCTTCATGAACTTTTGAATGTCAGAAGCATAATGGGCGTCCGTCTCCAGATGACCGTGATATCCTGCGTATGATGCAAGTGGTGGGTTCAAGGCTGAGAGAATCGTGTTCCGGATTGTTTTGTCAGTGGGATTGCATTGCGCATCCTGGATGATTGGTCCAGCTCGATATTTACGGCCGAAAGGAGAGGCAGATTTGACACTAGACAGTGCTTTCGTTGCAGACGGACTCAGCGCAACATCTTCAGGCAAGCCAATCGTAGTATCTCCTTGACGAGGTGTTCCATCAATTAGTGGTGTCGACAGAAGATCTGCCATCCGAGGCTTGGACGGAGTCTTCGCGTTGTATAGGTGGTTCCTGGCTGCTGTCATGGATGCGAGGGAATACTCAGTTTGTTCTACGATAGGTGTCATAAAGGGCAGGCGATTCTGGGCAACTATCGCTGGGTCTCGGTATGGGCCGCACGGCGGGTTGTAATCGTCAGGCATTTCTGGGATAAACCTTTGTCGATTTTGGTTGTCGTCAAAGTCATCGTCGTCGATGCTGTACCTTTCATCTGTGTGTGGTTGCGACACTGACTCGACGCCCGGTGAGCGAAGACCGACCAAATCGTCGGCAGCGGAGAACTGTGTCCATTCACCGTCCACGACACTTTCAGCTCGAGTGTTATCATCAAAACCATCCCCAACGGTTTCATCAAAGGCCTTGTGAAACGTATTTTCGTCATCACCGAAATCGCTCGAAGCAGCCGAGATGTGTCCCGTTACGGTGCTCTCCCCAGCGCTTGTGTAGTCATCGTCATCGAAGTCGCTACTTTCGGCTGCTTCTGCTTCTGCCTTAAGTGGTTGATTGAAGATACTGTAGATCTCGTCCGTTGCGGCGCGAGTATGAATCGTCATTGTTGGCTCGGCTGTGCTCTTGCGACGAATCTTGCCTCCAGTCGGAGAGTCAAATTTCATCTTGACTGTGAAAGCGATCAGTTTTACCACAAGGTGCAGGCATTTTACGCAAAGCAGTCTTACCCGTCTGTGTCTCCTGTTTCACTTCACGAAGCTTCAATTTCCGTGCTTTACCAGCCTTGGCCTCATGCTGGGCATCTGATTCCGAAGTTTGCTGCGCCGAAATATCTGCATCCTTCATGGTCAACTTTTCATCGAACTCATCAGGTAGTGCCTTGGCTGGATCAACTCCAACTGAGTTTTCATTTCCAGAAATCTGTCTCAGAGGCTCCTTTTGTGGTCGCCATTTCTTGTCCATCCAACCACGGCGCATGGCTCGCAGCTCCTCGAAGCTGACTTCAATATTTGGGTTTGTATAGTCAGGATATACTGCATCAAGATTGACGAAAACACGCTCTCGTCTTCCCGTACGCGGGTTTACCGCTTCCCTTACACGATGCTCTGGAACATGCTTTGATTGCATTGACTCTCTCAAATGTGAATTCTGATTTGACTGCATACACATAATCGTAAACCAAACCGGATTCATGCCACCAATTAGTCCTGTGATCGTAAATATATGGAAATCAAAACAAAAGGTAGAAAATCGTTACTCACCTCATCCCTGAAAATTGTCATCTTCTCCTTGGGCGCAGGCTTCTTTCCTGCCTTAAGAGTCTCTCCCGCCCATGGTTTCGCTTCCACCTTATTCTCCTTCCGGCGGTCGCTCATTGACCCAATACTATCCCATCCCTTGGTCTGCCCAGAGACAGCAGGCTGGCTTGCCGAGTCGGCGTCAGAAAATATGGCCATTTTTGGTTTACCAGACTTGGTCTTTGGTGCAGCAGCAGCAGGGGCTTCCCGTTGTGCCTGGGGATCCGGTGATGAGGTTGCTGCCGAACCAAAAGGGTCTACCTTAGCAGCCAGTGCCGGTCGGACTGCGGGCAACGCAGGAGATGACGGTCCATTATCCTGTGTTCGTTGTTCATAGCGTTGTTGGAATTCACGATACTTCCGAACCAGTCGCTCAACAGGGCGGGCCTCGCGGTCGACACCTAGCCTATACACTTCATCCGCCTGTGTCCATCGTCCCGCGCCTTCGAGCCAGGCAGCAAATTCCTCATAGAATAGCGCGAGTCCTTCTCCGATTTGATGCCGTGCCAGGAATGCAAATGTTTCTCTTGGTGAGTCGGAGAAAAGTCGGATGTAATGGACCCATAACCGAAGGTAGCGGGGATCGTTCTTATAGTGGGGGGAGGAGAGGAAGGATTTTACTGCCCGCTCCAGTAATGGGAGAAGACCTGATTCCGGGGTAGCCTGTGAGGAAGGGTATGCGTCCAGCGTCCATTTCACATAGCGATCGTAAATATCAAGCGGATCGTCTGATTCTCCTATTGCCTGCAATTCTGCTTCGTAGTCTTGTCTGATGGCATCGTTGACAGTTCTCGTGTCGTTCGGTGATGGGGAATAAAGTTTGTCTTCGGGGCCTCTTGGTGAAAAGATCCGAGCGAGCTCCCTTGCTGAGCGGCCACCAGGCAGGGACTGGATGTTCTCTTTCTGGTTTTCGATGATATCGAAGTCGACGATTTCCTCTTGGGCCGCCATGGCGGCAAGATGTACTGATTATTATATTGCGTCCAAGCGCGAATTACCGAGTATATAACCTAGCAGTGAATTTGTTCAAGTCTAATAATCGCTAGATAAAGATCGCAGTCGAAGATTTGTCGGAGGGTCGTGGATGGTGATTGTCGTCTGGGATTTGCGGAGGGATCGAAAAGAAGCGGAGGTTCTTTTTTCTCGAGTTTATCGATAAACAGCCTTCGTCTTGTTGTCCCGGTAACGTGTCACGTGGGTGTTATACCATATGAGGCAATATTGGCTCCAGGAACGTTCGATAAGACGGTCTCGATCTTATGGGTGCCTAGGGTATTTGGGGATATTTAGATGAAAAGCTTCACATTCTAGATCTTTGTTCATAAAACTACCGCATCAAGTAACTACTTAACCCCTGTGCTGCGGCTTTGGTATGTGGCTCCAATTGTAATTATCACCAAACCCACAAGCCCCTGACTCCCGCTGAGCCTTTGTATAACCTTGAAAATCAATATTACAAAATGTAGGCAATGGACATCTCTGATATCCAAGCAACAATGTTGCCTTAACATTATCCTAGAGTAGCGACCCATTACAGGAAGGCCCTTACGTATCAGTACGGCTTGCGGCGGTCGCCCGTCACGCTACGCGCAAACGCGTCATTAAAACCGGCAGAATAATATCTCGTTCATTGACGCATCTATCAGCAAGATCGCGATATTCCATCAGCTTCTTGACGCCAGGGGAACCAGAGGCTACCTGGATAGTAGCGCATACCCAAACAACGCTGCTATGCCTCCCCGTGGATCCCGTAAAGCGGCGACCAGCGCTGTCTCTCAATCGCCACCACGCTCGCCTCAAGGCCCTGGAGCTCATAAACGAAAGATTGAAGACAACCACGAGCCGAAATCCCCATTAAGGAGATCGAAACGCGTCAAATCAACAGAGGTTTTACGAAACTCGCCTTCACCGGCTAAAGAAAAGGTTGTTCCCAGAGGACGAAAGTCGCAGAGTGGACAGTCTCAGAAGGGTGCGTCGAAAAGCAACGAAGACGGTCTAGTACTCTCCGTGAAAGAAGAGGTCGAGGAGGAAGTAAAGGTCACCGTCAAGGCAGAGATTGATCAGACAGGCGTGACAAAGCATGAAGAAGCAGATGATAAGACGGCAGTGACAGGAACGGTTTCAAAGAAAAGAAAGACGAAGAAGGAAAAGGAATCAGAGATGGTGCCCCTGAGAGCAAGGACACAGGGGCTGCGCATGTGCGTAGGGGCCCATGTCAGTGCAGCCAAAGGTGTCTTCAATGCCATCAACAACAGTATGCATATTGGCGGCAACGCATTTGCCTTGTTCCTGAAGTCACAAAGGAAATGGGACAACCCGCCCCTGCAAGATGACCACAGAGATACTTTCCGCCGTCTATGCATAGAGAACAAATATGACGCTGCAAAGCACATTCTTCCTCACGGCTCATATCTCGTCAACCTGGCGCAAGAAGATAAAGCCAAGGCGAAGCAAGCCTACGATTCTTTCCTGGATGACCTTCGTCGCTGTGAAGCACTCGGCATCAACCTATACAACTTCCAGTAAGTACATACCACCCTCCTTAAATACGCTTCTATCACGCTGTAGCTAATTGAGCAAACAGCCCAGGAAGTGCTAACCAGAGCAATTTCTCTGATGCATTATCACGACTCGCCAAAGCACTTACAAATGCCCTTGCTGCTACGTCAACAGTCACGCCTGTTCTTGAGACCATGTGCGGCCACGGAACCACAATTGGTGGCAAGCTGACTGAATTCCGCGATCTCCTTGCCATGATTCCACAGGAGTATCATGACCGTATCGGAATCTGCATTGATACCTGCCACAGCTTCGCGGCAGGATATGACCTCGCTTCGCCAGAAGGATTCAAAGCCTTCATGAAAGAGTTCGAAGACGTGATTGGTCTGCAGCATCTCCGTGCTCTTCACTTGAACGACTCCAAAGCACCACGGGGTAGCAAACGTGATCTTCATGCAAACATTGGAACAGGATTCCTGGGTCTTAGAGCTTTTCACAATGTTATGAACGAACCCCGCTTCGAGGGACTGCCAATGGTTCTTGAGACACCTATCGATCGACCAGTGTCCGCGATATCTAAGGGCTCCGCACAAAAAGGTGGCGAAGACAGTGACAGCACGGCCGACACTCCGAAAAACAAGAAGAAACAGCCGAAAAGGCCGGCTAGCGCGAAGGAGCCAACAGTCGCTGATCCCTCCGTCTGGGCCCGGGAGATTGAACTCCTTGAATCCCTGATCGGGATGGACCCCGAAAGTCCAGAATTTCGTGCCCTTGAAGCTCAATTAGCTGAAGAAGGACGCGAAATGCGTGAGAAGCAGCAGGAGCAATACGAACGAAAGTTAGACGCCGAAGAGAAAAAGAAAACCAAGAGTCCGAGAAAGAAAGGCCAGAAAACCTTGATGGAAATGATGGGCGGAGCAGGAAAGAAGGGCAAAGCAAAGAAGGCTTCGAATGATGACAGCGAAGATGAGGGATGTCAGAGTCACACCGAGTAGCAGCGGGCGACTGTCTATGATCTTCACAATTGAAGCAAAAATGGTGTTCATTACTTATATACAATGTATTTATACTTAAATCAATTACGCTCAGGTGCAATGGCGCGTGATATAGCTTCATATGCTACTGAATCAGATTGATGCAAAATACCGACTACAAAGGCTGCCGGCTGCAGAATCCATTAACGAAGTGTGTCATTCAAGATAATTTAGTTCTTGAATTGCAATTGAATTGGGTATTGTGTATGTAGAACTCGATGCCACAAAAAGGGCCCAAACGCTGGTAGACGTAGATACACCTCCTATTTCCATGGAAGAGATAGTAAACATGGTATCACACAAATCGCTGTCTATATGAGTGACGCTGCCAATATATGCGAGACTCCTTGGGCACTTCAAGGCACTTCTCCTTGAAGTGTTCAATTGATATAAAAGAAGATATGAGTGCACTATGCCTCGATATCGTACTTGGGAATTCGAAATCCAAGTGATGTTATGGGTCTCTCGGCCTGTTCATTCTGGTTTGATCGAAGCGAGGCCGAAAACCAGGTGATTCCAGGACACGGAGGAGGGAAAGCGCAAGTACGGGACGAGCCATACTAGTGGTGTCCAGCACATTGGAAAATTTAAAAACTGCTAGAACGAGGTACCAACCCAGCCTAACGCCTTTCTCTAGACGACGATCTTTCAGGCGACGATTGAAGCTGACTTCCCGTACCAAGGCTTCGTCCCGCTTTTTGCAGCTCAGATTCGGCCGATACCACGACCGGTGGCGCTGACTTCAAAGGAGATGGGGCAGATACTCGTGGCGAGAAGGCTTTATCATGGTCACTTAAGTTAGCGGTAGAAATGGTAAGCCCATGCGTGCTGCTGCTGGCACCGCTGGCTCGCACCCGGAATGACCGCCGACCAAGAATCGAATCATCAGCAGGCGTGATATTGACATTTTGATCGTCACGTGTATCCGACGAAGCGCGTAGCATACTTGTTTCCGGATTTGCAACGCGGTGATATCCTCCTCGACCTCGAGAGGGGTCCGAGTCTTCTGTCTCTGAGTCCGAATCTGGCTCGGGCTCCCACGTGGCCTTTCGAGCTTCAGCACGCATCTTGGCGATCTTCATATAATTGTAGGAACCAATACTGCTGATGGTAATCACCAGACCGAGAATATTTATGAGTGTGAGCTGGTCATGGAATATCACACCAGCTGCGCTTATCGTGACCACTTCTTTGAAGATACCACAGATGCTCAATGTGACGACTGATGAGCGCTTGAGAAGTGCGAACTCGGATGAGATCATACAAAACGCCAAGATACCCGGAAATATGAGGAGAAAGGTCGCAAACATTCCACCATGAGCGTCGCTGAGAGCGACGAAGCCTGTAACAATCTGAGATGGGCCTTCCACGGCCAGCGCGATAGTGATTAAGGAGATAAACATGACGGGAGTAAGGAAAAAGAGGGTAGAGAAGGGGTTAGCCGTAGCTGGATGCCGCAGCAAAAGTATTTGTGTCAAGCCCCATCGGAAGCCCGAGAAGAAAGCGGATGCAATGACTAGCAGGAAGCCAACAATGTTGAAAGCAGTCTCGCCTGCGACCATCATGACAACACCGACGGTCATGGTAGCAATGATGACGATCAACTTAGCCGACGGGGTTTCTAAGCGGAAGAGGAAAGCAAATAGTAGGACAAAGGCGAGAGCAGATGATTTACACATGGTAAGGAACGTGAGGGAGATGAATTTCAGCGACATGTTACCCAGTCCAATATCAAGGGAAGTTGCTGCACCGCAAGGAACGAGACGTGTGAAATAGAATACTTTCGATACGACACTATTTTCGGACCCATCTTGCTGCCTCATAGGTGATCCGGACGGTGACGATGAAGGCGCTCGCGGGCGCAGTGAAGGAATCATATATAGGATGAAGGATGATAGTGAGAACTGGACAAGCATGTGTAAACTGGTGGTAAATAGCGGGAAGGGAAATACGACATCATCCTCGGAAAACATCCATTTATTGTACTGCAGCACACATTGCCACGGTCAGTTGTCACGGTCGTTGAATGTTATCCTGTGTCCCAGGGATACCAGGGTACTCACGATTGATATCGCCAACGAAAAGAAATACCACATCAGAATCAACCCGCCATTGACCAAGAGCTTCCTCATCACGTTTTGATCCGCCAGTCCAACCGAGAACACATCACTCTGGGAACCCTTGACCCCGGCGATCCGAGCATCCAGCTGTTTTCGTTGCTTTCTTCGCCGTCGTCGCTGGCGTCTCTGTTTTGCGGTAAGGCCTGTCTCTTCATCATCTTGCAGGTCGTCCTCGGAGCTCTCAGCGATCGACGAGAGGTCGGACACGTCTGCGTCCTCGGCGGCTTTTTGTTCTTCCCGTTTATTGTTGATAGGGTCGCCATTGGTGCGCGGGTTATCGTCCCTCTGCTCGGTCGGGCCTACTTGTGAAGGGCCCCCGGTACCTGTAAGCACTGAGCTCCGCCGACGATGGTGGTTTCCCGAGGGAGATAGACCCATCCTGGAATGCTAGCTTGTTGGACGAGGGGAGGGTCTTCGGGAGGGGGGAAGAGTACAAGGAAGGTCGTTAGAAGGGGGAGAGAAAAAAAGAAAGTTTTTGCTAGAATGTAAATGACTCCATCGGTGGTGGATCAACGTGAAATATACACTCGTGGTCCAACGTTCAATTGTCGCAGCAACTGAGGATGGACACGGAAGGGGGGGGGGGACACACGAAGTCCGAAGGAACGAGGAGAATCGGTGAGGAAATCAACAGGGCTGGCCCGGATAGGTGTCAAAGGAGATGAAACTGAGAGAAAAGGGAAATGAAAGGAGGGATGGACAGGAAAGGAAAGGAATTCAAGACAAAAGGAGCAAGAAAGGCCCGAAGAGCAGCATGCAAGGGCGACCGATAGGAAGAAGCATAAGATGGGTAGCAGCAGCAGTAGTAGTAGCAGCAGCGAACAGCAGCCCAGCAGCCCAGCAGCGCGATGGCCTTTCAGACTCGGTGGAAAAAGAAAATGTATGTGTATGTATTGTAAGGAGCGTCAAATTCCATGGAAATTTCGGGGTTTGGGACAACAAAAGGGAAAGGAGTTGCAGTTGGTTTGGTCGTTTTGCAGGTCAGCAGTCGGTTTAGTTTTAGTTTTTGAAGAGAGCATCCAGGGACACTAGACCCAAACTAGCCCTGGTCTCCTGAATTTTTAATGAAAATTATCCTGTCGGCATTGTTGGTATGAAATGCCAGACTATGATGACTTATTGACTTATTGCGGAATCCACTTTCTTTCCTTCCCGGTCTTAATCTTACAAGGACTCTCCACCACCGCCACCGATTGATGCGAATACGAACGAGAAGCGTCCGTCGTGAATTTGAGTCTGCACTAACACCTTAGCAACTTATCTACACAACCACCGGGAGTCATATTTAGTGTACTCCTAGAGAGATAGAATAAAATAAAATTAAAGAGGGGAGGGGGGGGGTCAACAAACTACTAGTACTCGTAAACTATACAACAAACTTCATACTAGACTGATTTTGATAGTGATCACACATCCTTCAGGGTCTTCTCAGGCATCGTGCCTCTTGGACCTCTCATCTCCCGGGAAATCTCGTCTGTGGGAGCGGGGGTTGCAGCTATTTGGGTCCCTAATTTAATTTGCTTTTTTTTGGTCCCTTTCCGGACGATCCGGGGTCGTCCATTTATCGTCAGCCGGTGCCTTAACAAAGATGCCCTCGGACTTGTTGATCCCACGATTGGTTGGGTCAGCGATTCAAAGTTCAACAACAGGTCGTACTATTGGCGTGGGTGAATGAGATACACCATATTTGGTGTTGTTGCAAGTGACCTTTCCAATCCTCCAACGCACGATTTCCCATTAGGCATCAGCTTTTGGCCTGAACTCCATCTCGTTGCACACCGACTTCTTGGCGGCGATGGACCGGCTCAATTTCTTAGTCGATTTGATCCCGTCCCGATTGGCAGTGGCTGTGATTCGCCGCTGGGACAAACCCACTGGGTTCCAGACAATGACATATGATCGGTATGATCTCCCATGCTTTGGACATATCTGACCCAAGGGTGGATGGATGGTTGATGATGTTGTGATTCCATCACTATCTCGACAAGTACCGCCCCAAATGCTGCCAGCAAGGATAACCATCATCATGTCATTGTAGATGCATCCTACCCGCTGGTGTCATTCATAGTTTGCTATAATCGCCCTTGCATTCGCCGGGAGGAAGTATGATGTATTCTATCGCACCGCTTGTCATCAATTGACCTTCATCTTCAATCTCTGTCTGGTTTCGTTTTCCTGGTTGAAACCATCCGTGGTAGACCATGCATACCTGTGTCCCCTGTGAGCAAGAAATGTACCTTGGATAACATGTGCTAACCTATCTTTGATTTCGATGCCGTTCCCCGGTTCGCTTGCCCGAAAGACAAAGAAACCTCGGCGCAGGTCTCCAGGAGGCAAGCTTTAAGCAAGCAGCAGTGCTTACCTCATTCGACCTGCCAAGTGACGACAATGGTTTTGTTGAGCTTCAAGCCGTCTCGCTTTTTGCCCAGGAGAACCGCTCGGCAGCCGATGTTCGTACAAAAGAAAAATCGAAAAAAAAAAAAAAATTTTTGAAAATAAAATAAATTGAATTCAAAACGAATCGCAAGGTCAATAAACCTGTAGGCAGTCACTTCAACTTGACTGCAGCATCCTGTCAAGATCAGGCAGGGTATGGGTAATAGCCTTTAGCCTCCCTTCTGCCTTTCTCTCCGGCTCTACGGAGTAATCCTGGCAACTATACACCATGGGCTAGACTCGGCGGCAAAAGTAAGTGCATAATATTGGCAAGTAACTCCTGTTGAGGGAGAAACTAGCAATTCCCAATGAGTTAGGTAGACTAAAGATATCAATGCGGAAGAGCCACATCGTTGCCTCCGCGGGCTTTTATACGGTATGGCCCCTTTGAAAGAGTCTCCAGCA